GGTTTTAAGTGTTCTGAGTAACAGTGCAGTTACATAGATGCATTTGGTACGAAGTTCCGGTTTTAGAATTTCCAGCGTGGCGTGTAACATATTGACACATACATACTGACCTCATGTGAGGCGCAAAATGACCACCTTTCGGTCCATCATTTATTTAGTATCCCAGACGAGTCTAACCTATGTGGTTTTCTCACTGAAATCTAGCAACAATTGTCATCAGACACTAAAACTAGTGGAAATTAGTACGCTGCTCACTCGGATGAGGTCATGGGCTATTGAAGCCGAGAACAGCCTTGCCTTGCAATGGATGGTCCGCTCTTTTTACAGGGTGACCAATTAGTTATACAGTCATCCAGCGCTGTTCAGTGTGACATAAGGTATTACAAAACCAGTGACAAGTTGTTGAAATATCTGTTTATGAAGCTCTTAGCAGAAAGAAAGAAAGATGTCTTCCAGGAAAGGTCAAAATACTGTCGGGGTTAGATTGCGAATTTACTGACCGGAAGATCCGTGGTTCGAACCCGACTTCTGCTACTCGACTCCCCTTGTCTAGGCTTGGGCAACATATCAGTATCCCAGGTCTCATGCTTCCTTTGGGTGGTATGGCAACTAGGCACCGAAAGGGTGCTACAGCTGAACGATTATTATTTATTAAAATACTGTCATATTCGAACCAAAATTGAATGGCAACGATTCTCAGGATGAGATGCTTTATATGTTAGCTCGGTGGTGCTACTACACTGGTGATCAAATTGCACCACTGCTTGTCTGCTTGTTGACAGCATAATTACAGGTAACAACAGAGAATTCTTCAGCGAGCTGTTTATTTTTCTTCAGGATGTTGTGATCTTCAATGACGATTAGCTGCATAGTTTCTTTCCGAGTCAGTCTCCAAGTGATCTTCAGGAGTATTAGTGTAGTATATGTTTTGGTATTTGCATAATCCTCTGCTAGCAGAAAAGCATACGTCAGGAGCATGCAGCCAGCATTTCTTCGAGATTGTTTGGATGACCTTTCTACACCAACTCAAGATGTCCGAATGTAACCCTTTAAATTTTATCGATCACTAACTGGTTCAAGTTCTCACAGGAAATGGTCCATGAAACTTGACTTCAGCCACGTAAATGACCCTCTCCTGGCGATCCACCGGTTTTAAAACATCACTTTTCTGGCACAATGGGGTACAATCCCTCTGAAACCAAACAGCAATGGTTCTATTCTTTCCTACCGGCTACGCAGCGAGTTGATATTGTAGCATTTCCATCACCTCACCACCATCCTCACCTAATCGAAAGCCCTATCGATTCAATGCGCAAAACCATAGCCATGATAATCGTATTACCCCTAAAACACCACTGTTTTTACTTGGTCGCCCAGTGCTGTGAGTGCCTGTCTTGTCTTCAGCGCCATCAGCTAAGACTGTTTTGAACGTGGTTTGCAATGCAGACAAATGGTACACAATTGTACCGTCATCGGCCTAGCGAGCACAGTAGACAGGAACACGCAGCACTGTTCGGATATGACAGACCAGGACACCCGTCCAGAGAACACTCGTCATCGCCCGATCGAATTTCAAAAGGACCTGTCACAGGCGCAACAACACGTTTCAGTGCGTTTGTTGAGTACTTGCCATGACATTGTTTATGGGCATTTGGAGTTTCCAGTGGCACTTACTGTGCGGTGTTTGGGCTGCGAGCTTCTTTGTTTTTCGCTACTAAATAACCATGACCTTCTGGGCTAACCGTCAAGCTGGTTCAGTACACCGTCAGGCAAATAAATACTCGTTACTCTGTTATGGAGTGAAGCTGTATGTTCTATGTGAAACTCTTCCCGGTGAAAAGCAACCAGGCGCCTCGTTTAGACTGGTAAGTGTGCTCGTTGTTGCAACCTTACCATCCAACCTTGTAGCCATCTGATTTCCGTGGATCACAATCAACTGTCCTCTCCTTATCCTACAGCCCGCTTTATTACCCAGACATATACACTATATAAGTTTGGTCCTCACACAGATATGTTTAAAGTAAACAGCAGAAGGCATTCCAGAAGCAGCCGTCTGATGCATACTTGTGTAAAAGCGGCTGATGGATACGGCATAGAAGCCTACCTTTCTCGTGAAAATACATCTTTGAGTGGGACTCTCTTGCACAACAGTTCACTGGTAGGCCGAGAAGGAAACGTCCACTCCATCCGTTAAAAATGCTTGGAACCGATTGAGAGGTCATACGTTTTGGGAAAGTTTGGGAACAGCTGGTAGATTCACTGTTGGACAAGGTTTGGCTTTTGACACAAAAGCTTTGTCAAGCTAAGTGACTAGGTTGCGAGGTTGGTGGAGATTTAAGGCGGAACGAATAAAGCTAAACCTGTGATAGGTTTTGGCCAAGGGACATTGTGTAAGGGTGAGTCACCAAGTGTCAAGTTAGATGAGGAACCTAGATGGATTTGGGCGCAGCTTAGGGTCCACTTCTTCGGACTTAGTTCACATGAGATTCCTCTTGAATGTTTGTGTGGATGAGCTGGTGCTACGGTAGTAAAGGAGAGAGGGTCTGTAAACTTTGGTTGGGATTTCTAACCCCCCCCCCGTTTTTGATAATGTTTCCACGTTTATTAACAACCACACAGTCACGTGTCAAGTAAGTTTATCGGGGAACGCTTTCCATAGGCTTGCCAGTTCCATTCCACTCACGCTGTGATGCATGATAGTTTCCTCCGCCTCGGATATCAGCCACTGTGGTTTGATTCGTAGTCCACATGTACCGCCATCGCTGAGTCTTTGACCAGCACTTGGTATAATTCCGCATTTCTTGGTGGTTTATTTATCCTCCTTTCATGCTCGCCAACTCTGGTGTGCAATTCCTTGGCAGTTTGTCCTGCGTAAACCTAAGTACAATCGCTGCATTTAATTTTATACATAAAGCCTCGGACCTTTCAATTAGAAAGGGATCTTTCAATCGCCCCAAAACTGAGCGTAACATTTTCCCTCTGAAAAGCTACTCAAATGTTGGCTGCGTTCAGAAGTCTTCGAATGACCTCCAATGTTCCTGCTCTTTATATAATGACTGTCTTGCCAACCCATTCATTACTGGGCCTAATCATATCCTCGTTCTTGAAGCCTGAGCTGCTGTTCGGTCAGCCTCTTCTGTGCACAGCGCTCTGACTCGACTAAACATCGATGACACGATGCTCGTCTGGACTTCGGATTTGCTGATGAGTGGTTTAAAACGGTTCATGTGTCTGTTGGGTCTGTGTTATACAGTCCAGGAAGGTTAATGTGACCGAGGTGGACGCCAACTCCACGCTAAATTTGGTGAGAAGATTCAAGCGATTGAGATAGTAGTGGGAGTTGCACCAGCTAATTCACACAGATGGACAAAAAGTGTGAACGATGTTCGAGAGAAATCTTCACGTGAACCAAACCTGAGGAAGTAGAACCTAAACTGCACCCAAGTCCATGATCTTGACTCACCCTAGTCCAATATCCCTTGGCCGACACCTAACAAAATTAGTTTGACTGTTTTCTCTCTTAAATCTTGAACAACCTTGAAACTTAGTCACTTACTCTGCGACGATTTTGTGTCAAAAGCGAAACGTTGTCCAGTAATGAATCTATTGCTTGTTCCCGAACGTCTCCGAAAACGATACGTTTTACCTCTCCACTTTGTTCGGGGCTACTGTTGTTGAAAAGAAAAGGGTTTTACGTATTTCGCATTGAAATTTTCGACTGAGCCGTGCATTCTTAAGTGGTTAACCTTAGTTCTAGCTGTCAGCAATATGCATATGTACGGTGGGTACTCTTCTTAGGGATTTACAGTCAGAAACTGTGTGAAACTAAATGAAAGCCTATAGGATAGAGACTGGGCAAAATTCCTAGATTCGAAACTGCAAAGTATATATGACATCTCATCAGAGTGGCGAGGCATCCGTGTTAGTGCAACTGATAACGGTATAGTTGTGAACACGACAGTGTTTACCACTTTAGGCTGTCAGACACGGGTAATATGAAGGAATTGAAATGACCACTGCTGCAGGGGTTGACACAGTTAGTTGGAAGGCTTTAATGAAGATCTTCCACCATCAAACCAAGCCAGGTAACGGCTAGGTTTCAACCAGGGTTTTGCTGTACATGACAACAATACCATTTAGAGATCCGCCGATTTCAGTATCGAGTACTATATCACCGACCGATCAGATCTGTCTACCAATTCTGACTAATCGACCAATTCGCACTCCATCGATGGCTGTTCTTACGTTACCAGCATTGGTTCGTCTGACATTGTTTTGTTTTACGACACTCACTTTGGCTGTTGTTCTGTTTGCTGGGTTAAGCAAACTGGTTGCGAACGTTTCCTAAGCAGTCGACATGGCACTGAAAGTGCATGGTCGATTAGCGTTGCGCAGTGGATAGGCTCTGCGCATTTGTTTAGTGGTCTGTCGTTGTGTCACCGTTGATCAATGTTGTGCTCGTTTGTGCATACATCTTGTTGGCTGGGGCATGACCTTGAATTTGGATTGGTCATTCGGTTCGGCAACGTATAGTGAAAATAATGACTAAGATACTCAACAAGGTCCGGATGAGTGACCAACAAGCACAGAACAAACTGTCTTACGATGACAGCCCACAACCATTTACGAAGCCAGTCTCCCACAGAACGAAAGATGACCATCTGAAAAAATAAACGTACATTGGCACTGGAAAATGGAAGAACGAGTCCACACAAAAATGACAGTTGTGTCTAGCTGCGCTTTTTATGCACTTGAGCAGAATCTTCTACTCAGAAGTACCGACTTCATCGTAAGGGATGAATCGATTAAGGATTACCTGGCCAGTTTGGAGCATATTGACTAAGTTCAGCAATAGATTTAACAGATCACTGTACTGGTGATGTCAGTTGATGGGAATGAAAACACAAGGTTGAAACAAGAACAGAATGCACAACGGAGTGTGTAAAGGCTGGCCAGCCATCTTATTGCTAGTCGATAAAGTACAAACCACAACGATACCAGTTGAACCGGCCCATACTGAGAAAGTCAGGTAGATGCTGACTGACGCAAGCATCTATCGATCAATCGATTAGGACTCCATTTCAAAACTGGTAGGCCAAACCAAAAAAAGTATTCAGGGAACTAGAAGCAACAGACTAGATGACCGGCCGAAAACGATGAAAAACGAAAGAAGGGAACAGCAACATCGCAAAATTCTGTTAATTGTTGAAAACAGACAGCGCGAGAACTCCACTTCCACTAGTCGTCTCACTTCAAGAAAATTCAACTCACAAGTTAGTAAAAAACAGTGGAGGGGATTAATGCACTTGACCACTGGATCAGAACACGAATGACATACATAATATCAGGATAGAGGAAGAGGTAATCACGTCCTCGTATGGCGTTTCGACTCTATCCATGTCAATTAACCGCCCCATTGCTAGAAAAACCGCAAAGGAGTTAGTGAACAGGGAATGTGAAACCCGAAAGAGCATGCAAATCCTTGGATGACTGTGTGGCTTCAAATGGCAGGCGTATCACCCAACGAGGGGAACACCAATGGGATTGCCGGAGTAGTATTACAGAAACTGGAACACAGCGTACAAACCTCTAATCAATCTCGAAATCTGGATGCGCTGTATGAATGATACTTCGATTATTATGAAACATGCAGAATGTAGAGTGTACACCATTTGCTCATTACACTGAAAACATCGAGTTTACCATAGAAAACTTGAGGAGAAAAGCCAACTTTTTCTCGTTGACGTAATCTTCTGTAGGATTACAGTACTCTTCATACACTCGTTTATCATAGGGAAATTCACGGAATGTAAGCACAGTTACCAGAATCACAAGGAAAATGCAAGCAAGAAGGCGGAGACAACAGCTATCCGACCGCAGCACAGTCTTCAACAACACTGACAACAGCAGACGTGTCATCCAACTTACATCAGAAAAGTAACTGAACTCACAACAAGGTTGCAGGTTAGAAGACCGAGGAGGAATACCGATGATAACGCAAGAAAGGGTGCAGTGCGTGAACTGTTCCAAATACTGTCCTGGACGAACTAGTCGAAAACCGTCTATGGGGAGGATATGCAACTACTACACATGACCTCTTCGCTGTCCATGATCTCCGTACAGGATGATCAAGACGGGAATGAATTTATTCCGTAAAGCTTAAGGGCTTTGGTGCGCTGAATTACGAGACTGACGGGCGTCCTCCCGGATGTAAGATGTTTCGTTGCAAGCTCAGTCATTCGTTATGTAGGAACCGAACAAATCCACATAGCACTACACACAAAGTATCTCCATTTGACTGGATTCGAATTCCGGTCAGCAGACAACTACGAAACCGGTAGGAAAAAGAAGATCGGGCGGGTCGGTGTGTAGACGTACCGGCAACGCACTGCGTACTGATGATGTCAGCTTTATTGGTGACCGAACCAATCACATTCAAATGCTCAGCTAACAGAACAATAGTCACACACCCATTTGCACACCAATTCGGGTTTGACGGAAGACTCAGTTGGAACCCAGCCGAACCTCTGGCTTATTTTGAAGCTATGGATAACAGTTACCAAAAGCAGTCAGTCACGTGGTTGGATGTACTTTAGTTTGAAGGTAGTTTTGCTGTAACGAAAACGCTTGCACTATTAACGGGGATTTTGAACCGCACACGCCAGGTACACATCATCTACGTTGTGGTTGCAGCCAGTGGATACAGCCACACCTTTATTTACTGGTCAGGTTTTTGATTATGCAAGGAAAAAAACAACTCGATCAACAACTGACCTTTTGATCTGGTATGTTGGTTTGCATGACTCGATCATATTGGCAGGCATAGGTTTGTAGGTTAGTATTCTAAGCTGACTGTTTGACGGAGACGAAAAAAAGTGCATTCGCCAATAATGACATATTGATGTGGCTATACACCCGACCAGAATTTTCTTCATACTTCCAATCGACCGATTAATCGATCGATTCGTGAAGGAACAACTTCGACAGGTGTATCTCTAGTCGATTATCCACCGTGCCGTTTTTTCAGCGTGCCGTTCACATGCACTTTTCCGTTACAGACTTCATCGTTCCAGGCTGTTACCAAACGAAACTGACCTGACAAAATCAGCATCACCATTTCTTGATCCACCTTACGCATCTCTTACGCACTGCCTGTGAACAGAAAAAAGCTGGCGTTCCAAATGGACCCAAAGAGCGAAGAGAGAGGGCAAGAAAGCGATGTCTTGAAATCAGAAGAAAACCAGCAGATTGGTGCTCATTCCCAAACAAACTCTTCAACTTTGGCTGAAACCGAGGTGAAAGAAGAAAGTACGCGCATCACATTTACGTCTGCTTATCCTCCAAACTTGATCCACGAAGAAAAATTCCAATGGAGTAAGTTAACATCGTTCTCGTCATTGGATGTTGCGTTGCGATACAGCTTTGTCCGTCATTGTTTATCTTTACAGTCTTATGGTGCGTACAATAACGAAAACCAATTTCATTTGATGCAAACATCGTTCGAGTGTTGATGTAAAAAGGCGCTGCGTTCGTAATAAACAGGAACCAACACGATACCCACAACTATTGTCCATTAGGTGAAAATTACACGGAGTGTAATGCAGCATATGCAATTGGCCTCCTTGTTTACGAAGTTTCATTGAGATTGATATGATAATAGGGATAGCAGGAACCTAGTATATATTATTCTTAGTCCGCACACACTACAGGATTACTGAGTGAGAGCTCTGAATAGCCGAGTCTAAGGTGCGAACTAACTAACTGGAAAGTCCGTGGTTCGAGTCCAATCTTTGCAGTTCGATTGCTCCTTTCTATGTTTTGGGAACCAGTCAACATGTCAGGTTCACTTCAAAGGAAAGTGATAGGAATGTGAAGTATAGAAATCTCGCAACCATTTAAATCTTATTAGAAATTGTTCAGCATGTTTTAAAATTCATGCCTGATTAGGAGATCCTAACATGCGAGCCAATCGATGGAAACAATCTGGGCAGTCACTGAACCGTCATTTGAGGTGTCAGATAAACGAATCGCATTACCCAAGCGTACGTGATAATTCAAGTGTTTCCGGCCTGCACTGGTCATGATCCTCCCCCATGTTAGATAGCCGGAGTTCAAGTCCCGATATGGTCAAGAACTGTACCGCTGATGAGATTTACTGATAAAAAATACTCCAGCACACTGTTTCCTGGTGTGGATTTATCAGAGTAATTGTTCCAGGTGGGACTAGGATTGTTCAAATTGAGTGATACCATACGGAATTTCCTGGCTTGTGTTTGTGTGTAACACTCACGAGCCGGAGAACGGAGGAGCAGTGATGCGTGCGCCTTACGCGGGCGCGTACTCGTGCAAATTCATGAGTAAATTCAACATCTTAGTTGAACGATCGGAAACTGGGTGTGCTGCTCGGTTTTCGTAGAGACGCGCAAAATGGAGCGTTTGTGATTCGAGTCTTTGTCACTATTCGAGCGATCAGTCCAATCATATCGAAGTTTCTGTGCACTGACTCGTCACTGCTCCGAGTAGCGAGAAGCTACGGGGTTGAGCCCCGTTCAAAGTCTCTTGTCACTGCGTCCGCACTATGTGTATTTGTGTTGATTGACCTTTTCAACTGACCTTCTCACAGCGGGGAATTGTAGTAAATTTGTCCACTAAATGAAGACCGTCTCCAGATGTTCATCATAACCGTACTCGTTCAGTGCTTGGTCTCTTCCTGAAGAAGACTGCCCGTCCGTTGACCTCAGATGTAATCTCATATGTAAAGCCGTCAGTACAGAGGTAAGGGTACGAGACCCTTTTTCAGGCAGTTGTTCAGACATTCGAACATTCGAACATGTAAAGTCACAGTACACGAATATCATCCAGGCCTTTTTCCGCTATGAGATTGAGGATGGACTTTGCTCTGAGGCGGGACGTATCATTTTCAAAACTAGAGCATTGAGGTAGTGATAAGGTGGACCAGCTTCAGGAGCTGATATGTGTCTTGGCATTTGAAAATGTCTGCAATTCCTCACTTCAGAATCACTGAATGGATCCCAGCATCTTCATAAAAGTAATAATACGTCGTCAACAGTGCGTCATATTCGAGGAGTAAATTTACACCCTTTCAGGAACTAATAGGATTCCCAAGAAAGTGGCTTTTCTTCGGATGGATGGCCCAATCAAAGATGCCCCTCGGGAAGTGATATTATAAATCCTAGAAGTGTGTGACCTCATTTCGAAGGCGTCCCCCCATTGCGACAAGGTGGTTCGTGTCGTTATGTTTGACACTACGAGCACCACGTCCACCTGTTATATAGAAAATCGGGGGTGATGTACTATGATGTTATGTGTTGAAAATTTTTGACGATCGGTTGACTAAGCAAAAATCGAGAAATTCCATAGTGAGTAGAATGAAAGTTTCACGTAGCCGATGTTCAAACTTTACCTAAGGTTAGGCTTTTCGTTGGCATGTAAAGGTGGTACATTGTCCTGTCAGTTGTGTAACGCCAAAACCGATTGTATTGTTTGATCATGTTGAAAGTCCTGAAATGTTATGTAAGATTCACGATAACAAAACAGGTGAGAAACAGGAACGAAACAACTGTGTGGACTTTTACACTAGATAACTCGGGCAGAGTAGCGTTTTTGTTCCTGAGATTTGTAAACTGAAAGCGCTTACTTGGGCTGTAATGCTTAGTGCAGAACCGGCAAACTTTAACCACATTTGAACTGTTTGACACGTAGATGAAGCTTATCAGACTACGTTAGCTGATTCCTTTCGGTTAAATTAAACGAGCGAAACATCGGCTCAGAAACATTTATGGAATTCAGAGTCCTATAAGGACGTGTGTTCTTGGTGAAAAAATGGGATCCATGCACATTTGTGAGTCCAGCTGAACAGTTTGTTGTTTTGCTCACAGAGTGGACATGGTAGTGTTTATCATTACACAACAAATGTTCCTTTTGTGCTGCCGAAGGCCCCAAGGGTTTGGAGTGGCTTTACGCTGTGCAGTATTCATCATATCATGGCATTATATCCCACATCATACCCCTCAATCTAAAATTTAATTTCTAGGAAACAGATTTCTCTTACACACATTCGTCCAGCCATCATTTTGTGACGTAGATATCGGTTGGTTGGATCCCAGAGCCGCATTAAATGAATTTCTTGTTGTTCATGTGTCTGTCTGGCTCATTGTTGCCAAGGTCACATCTTCAGGGTCACTCTTATGTTAGAACACAAAAATATCAGTGAAATGTTTTATTAAGACAAAACAAAAGGGACCGAGTGCTATGTAGCTTCACGGTGCAGTTCCGCGTACTTACTATGGATGTGCTTTGCAGAACGGTTCGTTTGACAGAGAAGCATTGGTATTGAACACTGAGGTCCTGATGTCGCTAATTATGCTGACGGTTCCTCCGATCCAAACTGAAACGTACGTTTGCACCCGCTCATCATATCCTAGGCGTCGCGTCATCAGGTGTGTTCAAACTACCACCCGCAATCTGATTGTACTGTCGCAAACCCTCAAGTAAATGGTAGAGAACACAATAATCGACCCACCACCAATGTGTCAGGATACATTAAGAACATACTTAGGTAAGCTAAAGAACCACAGATTCATCATTTCAGAGATATTTTAACCTCCTTTGTTTCTGAATCTGTTCTGGCTGAATAGACACTGTACCACAAGGCGGAGTCGTATTCTGTTGTTTGATAGTAGAAAGTAAGGATGGCGGTATACAGATATTTTGTGCAGACGTTTTGGTTCTCGCCGACTAAGTCCCTTGGAAGTTTGCGGATAAAAGTTTGCCCTCTGGATATAACTTCGCATTATCCACTTATTGGCAGGTTCCCAACCTCTGGAGCTTAAACATATGAGCACTGTATTTGTAGAAGTCCGTACTTAGAGGGGATTAAAATTGATTGTGGAAAACTGAGTGGCATAAATTCTGTTAACCTTGCAACCGGTGTGTTCCACGGACAAAAAACCTGTAGACTCCACCAAACAAATGTACTCGTTAACCGCCGTTGTGAAGAGTGGCAGGTACATTGACACTGCTGCGGTTTCTCACAAGCACATTATCCGAGGAACCAAGTTTCAATCCTAAAATATCAGTGCTGAATATGTGAATGGTCATCATGATTATCCAACATTTCACAGTACAAAATACATGCATTTAGTTTGTAAATACACCGAGGCAAAGAACTAGAAAATCTCGAACTTCTCCCCCATGCTGTAGCACAGTTTGAACTTCAAAACCAACCAGCTGGGTCAAGGCATCATAAATACAGGGAGTATTTTTTCTGATTTTTCATCTCATCTGTGTGATTTTTTTTTAACTTGAGCGACGCCGTAAAGATTTATGTCATGATCAGGTGGTAAGGATCCCTGTATACGTAATAACAGTGTTATCAAATCGACACAACGCTTCTCGTCATGACGTCAGAAAAACAAGCAGGTTCAGCTGTACTGAACAGGTGGTTGGTCGTAGGCGGAAGAAACTACATATTGTGTTGGAGTTTACATTCACTTGGTTTACGGTGAGGTTCATAGGAAGTCGCCTGATGGCACGTGGTACTATTCTGACGATAAACTGACTTGTATTAAACACGTCCAAACTAAACAATCAGGAAATAATTATTCGGACAATTTACATCTTAGGGAAATACACTCATGACCCAGCTGGAACCCAACCTAACCTCTTGTTTATGATGTCCTTGGTGTGGGTAGATCAACCGAGGAATAGCTCCTCGGCTATAAAGTTACTCTACCAAACTCTGCTCCACGCGAATGTTTCATCTCGAGGGAGTCAAATAGCAGGAACCCTCCACAAAAACTTTTGTAATTGTCTCAACAATATCTCGTTACCCTTAACTGCTTAACTTCCTTCCGATGTAAAATGATGGTTTCCGCTTTTCAGTAATCACCCAGAGCATTCCTAACAGCATCGGGTGACAGAAGCAAAAATTTATTATCAGAACCTCGAAGTACACAGCGCCTGTATGCACAATTCCGCCCTAATTTTCAGCTTATTCGGGTTGACCCCATATTGAAATTATGGTGTTTTTCTGAAACTGAATATGGTTCACATGCATAAAGTCAAATTACTGAGCTAAAATAGTAGTGTCGTGAGATTTGCACGAGTGGCGTAACTGACAACAGTAATTCGGTACAACAATCCCCAGGTGCATACAAACTCTAAGTAAAAAGCACTGTAAATATCTCTCCTTTGAAGTCAAAGTAATGCTGGATCCCTGAAAGAAGTTCCTGTGTTTGTGGATACCTCTTCGAGGATTATTCCGGTGCTAAAACAAAATTTTCGATAGGGACTTTTCAATTTGTATGTCTCTTTGCGCCGACAGTACTTCCTATCATGATGGAATACTGAGT